AGGGAGGAGAGTCCACACCTCCAGAGGTCCTGAGGGAAGAGAGTCCACTCCTCCAGAGGTCCTGAGGGAAGAGAGTTCACTCCTCCAGAGGTCCTGAGGGAAGAGAGTCCACTCCTCCAGAGGTCCTGAGGCAGCAGAGTCCACTCCTCCAGAGGTCCTGAGGGAGCAGAGTCCACTCCTCCAGAGGTCCTGAGGGAAGAGTCCACTCCGAGTCCGAGCAGCAGGTCCACTCCTGAGGTCTGGGCAGCAGAGTCCACTCCTCCAGAGGTCCTGAGGGAGAGAGTCCACTCCTCCAGAGGTCCTGAGGCAGCAGAGTCCACTCCTCCAGAGGTCCTGAGGGAGAGAGTCCACTCCTCCAGAGGTCCTGAGGGAGGAGAGTCCACTCCTCCAGAGGTCCTGAGGGAGGAGAGTCCACTCCTCCAGAGGTCCTGAGGGAGGAGAGTCCACTCCTCCAGAGGTCCTGAGGGAGGAGAGTCCACTCCTCCAGAGGTCCTGAGGGAGAGAGTCCACTCCTCCAGAGGTCCTGAGGGAGGAGAGTCCACTCCTCCAGAGGTCCTGAGGGCAGCAGAGTCCACTCCTCCAGAGGTCCTGAGGGAGAGAGTCCACTCCTCCAGAGGTCCTGAGGGAAGAGAGTCCACTCCTCCAGAGGTCCTGAGGGAAGAGAGTCCACTCCTCCAGAGGTCCTGAGGCAGGAGAGTCCACTCCTCCAGAGGTCCTGAGGAGGAGAGTCCACTCCTCCAGAGGTCCTGAGGGAAGGGTCCACTCCTCCAGAGGTCCTGAGGCAGCAGAGTCCACTCCTCCAGAGGTCCTGAGGGAGGAGAGTACACACCTCCAGAGGTCCTGAGGGAGGAGAGTCCACTCCTCCAGAGGTCCTGAGGGAAGAGAGTCCACTCCTCCAGAGGTCCTGAGACAGCAGAGTCCACTCCTCCAGAGGTCCTGAGGGAGCAGAGTCCACTCCTCCAGAGGTCCTGAGGGAAGAGAGTCCACTCCTCCAGAGGTCTTGAGGGAGGAGAGTCCACTCCTCCAGAGGTCCTGAGGGAAGAGAGTCCACTCCTCCAGAGGTCCTGAGGGAGGAGAGTCCACTCCTCCAGAGGTCCTGAGGGAGCAGAGTCCACTCCTCCAGAGGTCCTGAGGGAGGAGAGTCCACTCCTCCAGAGGTCCTGAGGGAGGAGAGTCCACTCCTCCAGAGGTCCTGAGGGAGGAGAGTCCACTCCTCCAGAGGTCCTGAGGGAGGAGAGTCCACTCCTCCAGAGGTCCTGAGGCAGCAGAGTCCACTCCTCCAGAGGTCCTGAGGGAGGAGAGTCCACTCCTCCAGAGGTCCTGAGGGAAGAGAGTCCACTCCTCCAGAGGTCCTGAGGGAAGAGAGTTCACTCCTCCAGAGGTCCTGAGGGAAGAGCGCCCACTCCTCCAGAGGTCCTGAGGCAGCAGAGTCCACTCCTCCAGAGGTCCTGAGGGAAGAGTCCACTCCTCCAGAGGTCCTGAGGGAAGAGAGTCCACTCCTCCAGAGGTCCTGAGGGAAGAGACCACTCCTCCAGAGGTCCTGAGGGAGGAGAGTCCACTCCTCCAGAGGTCCTGAGGGAGGAGAGTCCACTCCTCCAGAGGTCCTGAGGGAGGAGAGTCCACTCCTCCAGAGGTCCTGAGGCAGCAGAGTCCACTCCTCCAGAGGTCCTGAGGGAAGAGAGTCCACTCCTCCAGAGGTCCTAAGGGAGGAGAGTCCACTCCTCCAGAGGTCCTGAGGGAGCAGAGTCCACTCCTCCAGAGGTCCTGAGGGAAGAGTCCACTCCTCCAGAGGTCCTGAGGGAAGAGAGTCCACTACTCCAGAGGTCCTGAGGGAAGAGAGTCCACTTCTCCAGAGTTCCTGAGGGAAGAGAGTCCACTCCTCCAGAGGTCCTGATGCAGGAGAGTCCACTCCTCCAGAGGTCCTGAGGGAGGAGAGTCCACTCCTCCAGAGGTCCTGAGGGAGGAGAGTCCACTCCTCCAGAGGTCCTGAGGGAGGAGAGTCCACTCCTCCAGAGGTCCTGAGGGAAGAGAGTCCACTCCTCCGCAGGTCCTGGGGCAGCAGAGTCCACTCCTCCAGAGGTCCTGAGGGAGGAGAGTCCACTCCTCCGCAGGTCCTGAGGGAGCAGAGTCCAGTCCTCCGCAGGTCCTGAGGCAGCAGAGTCCACTCCTCCAGAGGTCCTGGGGCAGCAGAGTCCACTCCTCCGCAGGTCCTGGGGCAGCAGAGTCCACTCCTCCGCAGGTCCTGTGGGAGGAGAGTCCACTCCTCCGCAGGTCCTGGGGCAGCAGAGTCCACTCCTCCAGAGGTCCTGGGGCAGCAGAGTCCACTCCTCCAGAGGTCCTGGGGCAGCAGAATCCACTCCTCCGCAGGTCCTGGGGCAGCAGAGTCCACTCCTCCGCAGGTCCTGGGGCAGCAGAGTCCACTCCTCCGCAGGTCCTGGGGCAGCAGAGTCCACTCCTCCAGAGGTCCTGAGGGAGGAGAGTCCACTCCTCCAGAGGTCCTGAGGCAGCAGAGTCCACTCCTCCAGAGGTCCTGAGGCAGCAGAGTCCATTCCTCCAGAGGTCCTGAGGGAAGAGTCCACTCCTCCACAGGTCCTGAGGGAAGAGAGTCCACTCCTACAGAGGTCCTGACGGAAGAGTCCACTCCTCCAGAGGTCCTGAGGGAAGAGAGTCCACTCCTCCAGAGGTCCTGAGGCAGCAGAATCCACTCCTCCGCAGGTCCTGAGGCAGCAGAGTCCACTCCTCCAGAGGTCCTGGGGCAGCAGAGTCCACTCCTCCAGAGGTCCTGAGGCAGCAGAGTCCACTCCTCCAGAGGTCCTGAGGGAGGAGAGTCCACTCCTCCAGAGGTCCTGAGGCAGCAGAGTCCACTCCTCCAGAGGTCCTAAGGGAGGAGAGTCCACTCCTCCAGAGGTCCTGACGGAAGAGTCCACTCCTCCGCAGGTCCTGAGGCAGCAGAGTCCACTCCTCCGCAGGTCCTGGGGCAGCAGAGTCCACTGCTTCAGAGGTCCTGAGGGAGGAGAGTCCACTCCTCCAGAGGTCCTGAGGGAAGAGAGTCCACTCCTCCAGAGGTCCTGAGGGAGGAGAGTCCACACCTCCAGAGGTCCTGAGGGAAGAGAGTCCACTCCTCCAGAGGTCCTGAGGGAAGGGAGTCCACTCCTCCAGAGGTCCTGAGGGAAGGGAGTCCACTCCTCCAGAGGTCCTGAGGGAAGAGAGTCCACTCCTCCAGAGGTCCTGAGGGAGGAGAGTCCACTCCTCCCGAGGTCCTGAGACAGCAGAGTCCACTCCTCCAGAGGTCCTGAGGGAGCAGAGTCCACTCCTCCAGAGGTCCTGAGGGAAGAGAGTCCACTCCTCCAGAGGTCTTGAGGGAGGAGAGTCCACTCCTCCAGAGGTCCTCAGGGAAGAGAGTCCACTCCTCCAGAGGTCCTGAGGAAGCAGAGTCCACTCCTCCAGAGGTCCTGAGGGAGGAGAGTCCACTCCTCCAGAGGTCCTGAGGGAGGAGAGTCCACTCCTCCAGAGGTCCTGGGGCAGCAGAGTCCACTCCTCCAGAGGTCCTCAGGGAAGAGAGTCCACTCCTCCAGAGGTCCTGAGGGAGCAGAGTCCACTCCTCCAGAGGTCCTGAGGGAGGAGAGTCCACTCCTCCAGAGGTCCTGAGGGAGGAGAGTCCACTCCTCCAGAGGTCCTGAGGCAGCAGAGTCCACTCCTCCAGAGGTCCTGAGCGAGCAGAGTCCACTCCTCCAGAGGTCCTGAGGGAAGAGAGTCCACTCCTCCAGAGGTCCTGGGGCAGCAGAGTCCACTCCTCCAGAGGTCCTGAGGCAGCAGAGTCCACTCCTCCAGAGGTCCTGAGGGAGGAGAGTCCACTCCTCCAGAGGTCCTGAGGCAGCAGAGTCCACTCCTCCAGAGGTCCTGAGGGAGGAGAGTCCACTCCTCCAGAGGTCCTGAGGGAAGAGAGTCCACTCCTCCAGAGGTCCTGAGGGAAGAGAGTTTACTCCTCCAGAGGTCCTGAGGCAGCAGAGTCCACTCCTCCAGAGGTCCTGAGGCAGCAGAGTCCACTCCTCCAGAGGTCCTGGGGCAGCAGAGTCCACTCCTCCAGAGGTCCTGAGGGAGGAGAGTCCACTCCTCCGCAGGTCCTGGGGCAGCAGAGTCCACTCCTCCTCAGGTCCTGGGGCAGCAGAGTCCACTCCTCCGCAGGTCCTTAGGGAGGAGAGTCCACTCCTCCGCAGGTCCTGGGGCAGCAGAGTCCACTCCTCCGCAGGTCCTGAGGGAGGAGAGTCCACTCCTCCTCAGGTCCTGAGGGAGGAGAGTCCACTCCTCCGCAGGTCCTGGGGCAGCAGAGTCCACTCCTCCAGAGGTCCTGGGGCAGCAGAGTCCACTCCTCCTGAGGTCCTGGGGCAGCAGAATCCACTCCTCCGCAGGTCCTGGGGCAGCAGAGTCCACTCCTCCGCAGGTCCTGAGGCAGCAGAGTCCACTCCTCCGCAGGTCCTGGGGCAGCAGAGTCTACTCCTCCAGAGTCCTGAGGCAGCAGAGTCCACTCCTCTGCAGGTCCTGGGGCAGCAGAGTCCACTCCTCCGGAGGTCCTGGGGCAGCAGAGTCCACTCCTCCGCAGGTCCTGGGGCAGCAGAGTCCACTCCTCCGCAGGTTCTGGGGCAGCAGAGTCCACTCCTCCGCAGGTCCTGGGGCAGCAGAGTCCACTCCTCCGCAGGTCCTGAGGCAGCAGAGTCCACTCCTCCAGAGGTCCTGAGGCAGCAGAGTCCACTCCTCTGCAGGTCCTTGGGCAGCAGAGTCCACTCCTCCGCAGGTCCTGAGGCAGCAGAGTCCACTCCTCCAGAGGTCCTGGGGCAGCAGAGTCCACTCCTCCGCAGGTCCTGGGGCAGCAGAGTCCACTTCTCCAGAGGTCCTGGGGCAGCAGAGTCCACTCCTCCGCAGGTTCTGGGGCAGCAGAGTCCACTCCTCCGCAGGTCCTGGGGCAGCAGAGTCCACTCCTCCGCAGGTCCTGAGGCAGCAGAGTCCACTCCTCTGCAGGTCCTGGGGCAGCAGAGTCCACTCCTCTGCAGGTCCCGGGGCAGCAGAGTCCACTCCTCCGCTGGTCCTGAGGCAGCAGAGTCCACTCCTCCGCAGGTCATGAGGCAGCAGAGTCCATTCCTCCAGAGGTCCTGAGGCAGCAGAGTCCACTCCTCCGCAGGTCCTGGGGCAGCAGAGTCCACTCCTCCGCAGGTCCTTAGGCAGCAGAGTCCACTCCTCCGCAGGTCATCAGGCAGCATAGTCCACTCCTCCAGAGGTCCTGAGGCAGCAGAGTCCACTCCCCCGCAGGTCCTGGGGCAGCAGAGTCCACTCCTCCGCAAGTCCTGAGACTCACCCTGTGGCCCAGGAGGGCTCACCCTGTGCTCATTCCTGGTGCTGACATGAACAGCACAGGTGACCAGAGCCCTGTGCTCCTGCCCAGGTCACACTTGGTCTTCCTGGGATCCTGGCCTCCTCTCTCTTCCCGCTGGAATGACACCATGTTTGTCTCTGCCAGCATCAGGTCAGGAGGTACAGGTCTGTGTGGAAGGGAGCAGCTTCCTCCTTGGGGGGCTCCTGCTGCCCTATGGACCTCTCCCTAGCTACAGGCTCCGCTCCTGGCATGACCTGTGTCCACCAGAGGCCCTGCCAGCCACAGCAGGCGGGGACAAAGGTGCTGGCCCAGTGGTTGGCCATGTCCAGCTGTCCTGCTGGCAGAGCTGTGGCAGTCCACAGAGTGGACTAGGCAATCCTCTCTCCCTTCTCTCTGACACACCTGCAGGGAAAGACGGGAACCCTGTACCACACCAGGGCCAGCCTAGAGGCCTTCTGGAGTGCTGTCTGGGATCTTGGCCCCTGGGCTTGTCAGCCATTGCCGCTGCCTGGATGTGATAAAGAAAGGATCCTGCGGAAGGCTGGGGTTGTCCCCTCCTCCACAGGGTCCATCTTCCAGGGCTGCCTCTCAGGGCCTGGCACCTGGTGATGGACCCCGGAAGGGGTGGCTCCAGCTCTCCCCCTCTTCCTCCTCCCCTCCTTCAAGTCAACAGGGCCTGCAGCGATGAACAGCTGGGCCAAGAGGCAAAACTTGGTGCTGTTGTGGAGCCTGGCTCCAGGGCCCCAGATGGAGGCGTCCACGTGTGGTGTGGTGCCAGAAGAGACCTGGAGGAGTTGACCTTCCATAGGACATGCAGATAGCCTCCCCATAGGGCCTGGCCTTCAGCACTGCCCACTACCCATGTGCCCAGCGACCCAGCTCCACTAACATCATGATGCAGTGGCTGCTGGGCATGAGCCCGGTCCTCCCTCCAGGCTCAGAAGAGCTGCAACGCAGACCACTGAGAACAAAAGACCAAGACCCCTAGGAGGTCCAGGCAGCAGATGTTCTGTGCAGCTGGGCAGCTGGGGCAGCTGGGGCAGCTGGGGGTGAGGGAGATGCAGACCGCCAGCACTCAGACTGCAGGGGCATGTTGCACATCTGAGGTGGAGTCGGTCCCATTCAGGGCGAAACCCGGGAGAGCCTGGGCACTGAGGCTCTGAGGAAAGAGGACACGATGTGGGAGGCAGCAAATGGGCCACCCACAGGGGAGACGGCACAGAAATTACTGAAAACAGGCCCACGCATCCCACCCGAGATCCTTTAGAGGTAAGGCCTTGCACACTCACACATCGAGATGAGAGAGTGAAATAAATCAGGTGTGCCTCCTCCTCACCTGCAGGCCCTCTGGATGAAGAGGTGGTGCACACTCACACATTGAGATGAGAGAGCTGTAATCAGGTGTGCCTCTTCCTCACCTGCAGGCCCTCTGGATGAAGAGGTGGTGCACACTCACACATCAAGATGAGAGAGCTGTATCAGGTGTACCTCCCCTCACCTGCAGGCCCTCTGGATGAAGAGGTGGTGCACACTCACACATCGAGATGAGAGAGCTGTAATCAGGTGTGCCTCCTCCTCACCTGAGGCCCTCTGGATGAAGAGGTGGTGCACACTCACACATCGAGATGAGAGAGCTGTAATCAGGTGTGCCTCCTCCTCACCTGAGGCCCTCTGGATGAAGAGGTGGTGCACACTCACACATCGAGATGAGAGAGCTGTAATCAGGTGTGCCTCCTCCTCACCTGAGGCCCTCTGGATGAAGAGGTGGTGCACACTCACACATCAAGACGAGAGAGCTATATCAGGTGTACCTCCTCCTCACCTGCAGGCCCTCTGGATGAGGAGGCCATGCACACTTACACATTGAGAGCAGAGAGCTGTAATCAGGTGTACCTCCCCTCACCTGCAGGCCCTCTGGATGAGGAGGCCATGCACACTTACACATTGAGAGCAGAGAGCTGTATCAGGTGTGCCTCCTCCTCACCTGAGGCCCTCTGGATGAAGAGGTGGTGCACACTCACACATCAAGACGAGAGAGCTGTATCAGGTGTACCTCCTCCTCACCTGCAGGCCCTCTGGATGAGGAGGCCATGCACACTTACACATTGAGAGCAGAGAGCTGTAATCAGGTGTGCCTCCTCCTCACCTGCAGGCCCTCTGGATGAAGAGGTGGTGCACACTCACACATCGAGATGAGAGAGCTGTAATCAGGTGTGCCTCCTCCTCACCTGCAGGCCCTCTGGATGAAGAGGTGGTGCACACTCACACATCGAGATGAGAGAGCTGTAATCAGGTGTGCCTCCTCCTCACCTGCAGGCCCTCTGGATGAAGAGGTGGTGCACACTCACACATCAAGACGAGAGAGCTATATCAGGTGTACCTCCTCCTCACCTGCAGGCCCTCTGGATGAGGAGGCCATGCACACTTACACATTGAGAGCAGAGAGCTGTAATCAGGTGTACCTCCCCTCACCTGCAGGCCCTCTGGATGAGGAGGCCATGCACACTTACACATTGAGAGCAGAGAGCTGTATCAGGTGTGCCTCCTCCTCACCTGAGGCCCTCTGGATGAAGAGGTGGTGCACACTCACACATCGAGATGAGAGAGCTGTAATCAGGTGTGCCTCCTCCTCACCTGAGGCCCTCTGGATGAAGAGGTGGTGCACACTCACACATCAAGACGAGAGAGCTGTATCAGGTGTACCTCCTCCTCACCTGCAGGCCCTCTGGATGAGGAGGTGGTGCACACTCACACATCGAGATGAGAGAGCTGTAATCAGGTGTGCCTCCTCCTCACCTGAGGCCCTCTGGATGAAGAGGTGGTGCACACTCACACATCAAGACGAGAGAGCTATATCAGGTGTACCTCCTCCTCACCTGCAGGCCCTCTGGATGAGGAGGCCATGCACACTTACACATTGAGAGCAGAGAGCTGTAATCAGGTGTACCTCCCCTCACCTGCAGGCCCTCTGGATGAGGAGGCCATGCACACTTACACATTGAGAGCAGAGAGCTGTATCAGGTGTGCCTCCTCCTCACCTGAGGCCCTCTGGATGAAGAGGTGGTGCACACTCACACATCAAGACGAGAGAGCTGTATCAGGTGTACCTCCTCCTCACCTGCAGGCCCTCTGGATGAGGAGGCCATGCACACTTACACATTGAGAGCAGAGAGCTGTAATCAGGTGTACCTTCCCTCACCTGCAGGCCCTCTGGATGAGGAGGCCATGCACACTTACACATTGAGAGCAGAGAGCTGTATCAGGTGTGCCTCCTCCTCACCTGAGGCCCTCTGGATGAAGAGGTGGTGCACACTCACACATCGAGATGAGAGAGCTGTAATCAGGTGTGCCTCCTCCTCACCTGAGGCCCTCTGGATGAAGAGGTGGTGCACACTCACACATCAAGACGAGAGAGCTATATCAGGTGTACCTCCTCCTCACCTGCAGGCCCTCTGGATGAGGAGGCCATGCACACTTACACATTGAGAGCAGAGAGCTGTATCAGGTGTGCCTCCTCCTCACCACATTTGGGTAAGGAATTCTGCTGCTGACTGGTTGATGGCATCCCTTCATCATTTCTCCTTTCTTTGAGTTTTTAAACCCTGGTCAGTGCACACCTCATTCTCCACTGTCTGATCTAATGTCTTCACGTGGCAATCTGTCATTCTCAACATTGTACCCCCTGCCTTTGAAAGTATATCTCACCGTTATTCGAACAGTCATGTATTCATAGGATGCCATGTTGTACTTCCTCGTTTTGAGGCTGAGTAAATCAAGTAATGGAGACTTTAAGGAGCATTTCACATTGTGTGTGCATGCATGAGTGTGTCCGGTGTGCATGTATGTCATCCCATGGGTGATGTGCTTGTATGTGTGACAATGTGTTGTGTGTTTTGCATTTGTGAGCATGAGCACATATATGGTGTGCTTGTGAGTTTTGGGTATGTATGTGAGCACACATGAACAACATCCATGCATGTGTTTGGCCTGTGTGCATGTGAAAACATACATGTATAAATGCACATATGTGGTATTGTGCAAGCATGTGTTTATTGTGCATCCTTGTGGCGTGTACATGTGTTGGAGCACATGTGCACAGTGTGTGCATGGTGGGCATTGTGCCAACAGCATTTACGTTGGTTGATACATTTGCTCACCTGAGGTCATTTCTTGGGTGTCACTCAGGCACTAAGCACTGCCATGGCGCTGTGGACACCGTGTGTCTGACAGTGTTCTGTGGAGTTTGTGTCTGTGGGCGTGAACGCAACCATCTTTTGCACACAGAATGTAGAGGGCTGGATGTGGCCCAGGGGTAGAGTCTTGCCTAGATGAGCAAGGCCCTGGGTTCAATCCTCAGCATCTCAAAAAAGAGAGAGGTGTTTCGTGCCAAAATCATTTTGCCTACAGATGACTTGAAATGTCCATGAAATGTCCGGTGGCTCCTACGGCAGCCACATACCAGGGGGTCCTGGACCCCCACTTTTGATCACCTGGGCTCCCAGAGGTAAGCGTCACATCCACAGCTTTGAGCAAACTTCTCAGGCCTGGTTCAAAGCATTGCACAACTCAGCTCTCCATGGGACCCACAGCTTCAGGACCCTGTGGCCACCAAGGCGCACGTGGGGCCTGACTTGGGCTGTCACCGGGGCACGGAGAGCCGTTCCTGGCCTCAGTGAGGCCCCTGGCCTTCTGGTGACTCCCTCAGCCAAGCTAAAGAGGGAACTGCCACGTGGTCCCCAAGGCCCCTCTCATCCCGGGATTCCCGAAGCTCCTCTCCTGGCTGGGAGTGGCACCCGTGGTGCACACAGCTTCATGGGCCTGCTCTGATCCCTGTTAGCTGGCCTCCTTCTGCCTCACCCGCCAGGGCTGGCCTTCAGGAACACAAACTTCTGAGGTAGCTGAGCCCAGCGTCCTCACAGCCCCGACAGCTGTGAGTGCTCGCTCTGAAGGAGTGCTGACCACAGCCAGGAACCCTCAGCATTCCAGAGAGTGGAAATGTAAACGGCCTCTCCCGCTGGACCGGCCTCTCCCGCTGGACCGGCCTTTCCTAATAGCTCAGCTGCTCTTGGTGCTTGAAGCGTGCAGTGGTTCCATTAAGGAGTTTCCGGAACACACACTTAGGGCCAGTACCTCTCAGGGCCATGTGGTTGAGTTCCTTCAAGGGTCCCCAGCAGGCGCCCAAGTCCCTGGTCCCTCTGTAGCCCAGGCAGGCTTGAGGACCACATTCAAAGGCACAGATTCCTAAGGGATGACTGTGGCATCTGCGGTGTCAGAGGAACCCTGACTGTCCAGTAGAAAATCACATGCGTCACACTTGAGTGGACGGAAGTCCTCGTAGGCTTACCCCCCCAGACTCTTGCCTGTGCACGTCCACCGACTGGTTTCACACGCATGGACGCCAGCTCAGCCCCTACTGTCCGCGTGGGCTGTGTGAGTTCCTCCAAGCGCCCCTCCCCTGGGCTCCCCAGCCGGTCTTCATGCAGATCTGAGCTTCTGCCACGCAGCGCAAATCAGCATTTTCCTATCACAATATGCACAGCACACACATTAGGAGATGAACAAGGGACACAGGCCACAGCTCGAGCTTAATAAACAGTAATCAGCAGAGGGCGGCCGGCTGACACCGGCTCATTATCCCTTCAAGGAGCAGGACCAGCGGGTGGTGGCAATGGAGGTCGGCGTCTGCTTGTATAAAGAAGCCGTTTGAGAAAGTCCTGGGGTAACTGGGGTGAAAAATTACAAACAACATCTATTTTGAGCACAAACTCTTGCTGCTTAGTTACAGGCCAGAGGAGGGATCTTCCAGGAGAACAAAGGCAGGCAGGACTTCATCTCGGGCAGCGAGGAGGCAGGGCTGGGGCCTGCCCCAGGTGGTCGGCCCTTTGCCACGCTAATCCAGGCGCTTTTCAGAGCCTTCACCTGAGGGCACCGCGGCCGCTTAATGCAGTATCCTAGGTAACTCCAGGAATGCTGGGCTCCGGACAGCACTGACTCGGGGCTCATTAAAACACCTGGCACGGCCACGTGGTCGCAGCCATCTGCTTGTCACACTCAAACACTATGGCTTCCCACATCACAGCAGAGCGCCCACGCCATGGCAGCCCCGTCCCCACGGCCGGCTTGCAGCCTTCTCCAAACTCACGTGCCTTCCTCTGGCCCTGCCGGGACCACCATCTCTGGGTGGCATCCCTTCTGCAAACCCAGGTGGTTTGCTTCATAGCGTGTGCTCAGGCAGCAGAGGCCCGAGGGGTTGCGACACAGGGAGTTGTCTTTTTTTTTTTTTGCAGGACTCTCCTCGTGCTGGGAAAGCTCCTCAGGACACCACGTGGGATGAGGCCAGCTCCTCTTGTGGGCCTGGGAGTAGTTCCCATGGTCACAGGGTGACGTGGCACTCTGGCCCAGGGCTGCTGCTCCCGGCTCTGGTGGCGTATCAGCCGCCTGGATCTGGGAGGTGGAGACCTCCTTGACCCTCACAGATGCTCCTCAGCATCCGTGGCCTCAAGCCACTGCACACAGACACCCAAAGTGTCTCCTGGCGCGGCACCCGCAGAGCAAACTCCCTCCTGAGAGCTGCTGTCCAGCCCCCCTTCCTGGGAAACCCCCCAGCCCTGGAGTTTCCTCTGCACCGAGGCAGAGGCTGGGTGCTGACTCGCAGGCCCGGGACCAGAGAGGTGCAGCCGGTGCTCAGCCGTCTCAGGGTGCACGTTCCCCCTGGGAATGGGTGAGCACCCAGCAGCAGCAGGACTGCACTCTTCCCTCCTCAGCCAGAGGCCTCCCTGCAGCACTGACCAGGCCAGCCAGGCCCTCAGGCTCAGGCTCCCAGCCACTGGCCAGGGAGCGAGGGGTGACCGCTCACCTCTGGTCCTGCTCTGTGCCATGTGGCTTGGTCACTGCAGGAGGCCACTGGGGTAGGGTCCTCACCCACCTGCAGACCACTGTGACACAGGCCAGTGCTAGATGTGCCCCCCTTATGAAGGAGGGTCAGGACAGCAGATCCGTCGGGAGCCTTCTAACTCCTCCCAGCCACACAGCTGCCCCCACACCTGGGAGACCTGTGGCAGAGAGAAGGGGTGGCCACAAGCTTCGGAACACATTTCATACTCCTGGATCCAGGCTGGGGTTCAGGCAAAGCCAAATCATCCTCCCTCCCTCCCTCAGGCAAAGGGCTGGGCAGAAGTTAGGCAGAAGATGAGCAGGGGAGGTGGGCCCAGGGGCTTAGGACAGGCCACCGTCGCCTCAGAGGAGGGTGCCACCTGTCCCGCTGAAGCTCCTGTGTAGCAGACAGCCCAGGGGTCAGCAGTCTGGTCATCAGTGGGCTCCCATCAGGAGCAGAGGGCGTCCAGGGCCTGGCCAGGGCTACAGGACACTGTGACCCTTACACATGCAAAGTGCCAGCTGCCCCTGCGCCAGCTCAGGACCCCTCAGAGCTGGTCATGACAGCCCCGCAAGGAGCCTGGGACAAGGTCAGCACACGGGCTAGTGGCCAGGTCTCCTGACGCTCTCTTCCCTTTTGGCCCCTCCTGCCTGCCTTGGCACCCCTGAAATGATCCAGCCAGTCAGTCTCTCGGGGGGCACCCGCGGGGCCACCTGACAATGCAGTCGGAGGAACGGGAGGTGCTCATGATCTGAGCAGAGGTGGGAGCCTCTGTGTCCAGACACCCCTCGCCCTGGGACACGGGGTCTGTGTCCTGGCTGCAGAGCGTGTGGGCGTCTAGACACCCCTCGCCCTGGGTCACGGGGTCTGTGTCCTGGCTGCAGAGCGTGTGGGCATCTAGACACCCCTCGCCCTGGGTCACGGGGTCTGTGTCCTGGCTGCAGAGCGTGTGGGCGTCTAGACACCCCTCGCCCTGGGTCACAGGGGTCTGTGTCCTGGCTGCAGAGCGTGTGGGCGTCTAGACACCCCTCGCCCTGGGTCACGGGGTCTGTGCCCTGGCTGCAGAGCGTGTGGGCGTCTAGACACCCCTCGCCCTGGGTCACAGGGGTCTGTGCCCTGGCTGCAGAGCGTGTGGGCGTCTAGACACCCCTCGCCCTGGGACACGGGGTCTGTGCCCTGGCTGCAGAGTGTGTGGGCGTCCAGACACCCCTCGCCCTGGGTCACGGGGTCTGTGTCCTGGCTGCAGAGCGTGTGGGCGTCCAGACACCCCTCGCCCTGGGTCACGGGGTCTGTGCCCTGGCTGCAGAGCGTGTGGGCGTCCAGACACCCCTTGCTCTCAGTTGACATGAGGGAGGTGTGCTTCTTGAAACCAGGGAGGATGGAAGTTGGGGAGGGGTGGGGGACTTGTGCATGGCGCGTGAGTGGCCGTGGGGGAGGAGCCAGCAGTCTGCAGGGCTCAGAGCTCCAGGGACCCCGTGAACCATGAGGGTACTGTTGCTCGTGGCGCACGCACACCTTCCAGGCCCTGCCCCGGGAACCCCGACCTACGCCCAGAGTGGGATAGCTGGGTAACGGCGTCCACTCTCACCAGCAGGTCCGGGGGTCCAATCTCGCTGAGTCCTGGCAGTGATACTAGGTGGAGTGGTCTCTTCTAAGAGATCTCCATGTCACGATGTAAGAGTTTGGGGCCTTCTATTAGGTCTCTGGTCCATTTTGCATTAGTTTTCCTTAGTTCCCTGTGTCAGGTGAGCGGGTGGCTCTGTTGAAGAGACTGTCCTTTCCTGGTCGAGTGGCCTTGGTGCCTTGGAGATCGCATGGCCATGAACGCACAGGATCACTCTCTGTTCTGTTCTAGTGGTCTGTTTGTCTGTCATTGTGCCTGTATCATGCTGTTTCCATCACCACAACTTTGTAGTAA